AGCAAATGAGGACACGCAGGTGACTGATGGGAAAGTGGGACAAATTCAGAGGCAACAACAACAAACCCCCTCAACCACAACAGCGCTCATCTGTCACTCCATGTCTGGATCGCTCTTGCAGCGCCTTCCTGCCTCCACCTCCGAGCCCGAGCCGCACACACACACACACACACGTAACGTTGACTTGAGAGTAAAATGCACATGACGTGGATATTTAAATGTGTTTGTGCACGTGTGTGTTGTGTTTACGGTCCAGTCCCAGTGCAGCCCCGGCCTGGAGAAGAAGCACGGCGAAGCTCTGCAGGGCTGCCGAGTGGACAAGAGGGAGGGCAGAGGTTGAGAGCGGGGAGGGGCTGCAGTAATCTGCTAATCTCATTAATACCCCGGCTGTGGGTGCCCTGTCAACAAGACGCAGGGAACAAAGGACGGGGTAAACAGCTGATGACCCTGGCTGCCGTCCACCGCACAATGCCTATGCGTACATGAACACACACACGGGGCTGTGCATACACAAAACATGTCAGGCATTCAGGATCCACCAGGAAACTGTCTTCAGATTAGATCAGACAAACACAGAGGAGTCCACAGGCAGGGTCAAGCCGGTAAAGATAAAAAACAGCAACTGTCCCCTCAGGCCACATGACCCTCAGAAGGCTCCACAAAACACAGCCTGTTCTTTTTCCTCTCCTGATTACACAGCGCACAGCAGGACCAGTGGGACCTAACATGGTCCTCTCAGCTGCTCCCATCAGTCTGAGTCACTTCTCACCGCTGGCACTCGGGGCTTAAACCAGCAGTGGATGTCAAGACGTGTCCTTGTATTGTCCGGGAAATAACCCGGCCCCTTGTGGATTATTCTGTCACTGATGAAAATGTTAGCTGAATCCATGTTGTCGTGAGCAGAACCAGAGAGAAATCCTTGGCGGTGTCACGTGACCTCCCGTCCTGCTTCATGCTGAGTGATGACATTCAGATTCAGGTAACAGAGGAGGCCGTGCAGATCCACAGGGGCAGCTGGGACGACCGGGACCGGCCACATGGGGTCGGAGGGGACAGGTGGAGCAAATGGTTCCTCATTTTTATGTAAACTCGAGTGGATATTCCAGGAGGGGACGACTGTTTATGTGCCAGTTATCAGAGATAATCTTCAGAGGAAACGGTTTTAATTCTTGGTTTCTATCTCGGGAGGCAACAAATACAGATGAATGAATAAATAAAGTCGAGTCAGGCCTTCTTTGTTTCTGCAGAACATCAGCAGAAAAAGTGGAGGGACATTTGTATGAGACTAATTTGTGTGTCTGTGTGCAAGTGGTTGTGTGCATGAAATACAAAAAGGCATGCGGTTGGCAAGCATGTGCTCTCAGTCCTGCTCTCACCGATCCAGCACCCGGTTATAATCCTGAGGCCCACAGCCGCCTTCCCGCTTCAGTTCGGCAAATACTTGTGTGAAAAAGTGCGGGTCTGCGTTAATGCGCAGCATCTTTGCGCTGGTGGCGTCAATGATGGTGAGGCAGCGGTCCCAGAAGGCCTCCTTACCCGCCTCCACCAGGAAGGGCTTGAGTGGGTACGAGATCTCGTTGCCCATGTACGAGTACGACAGGTAGAGGCAGGTGAGCAGGATGGCCTGCAGCTCGTGCTCCGACGCCACCAGGTCGCCGTCCACGACGTCTCGGCACAGCATGTAGACGAAGACGACGTTGGCCGGTGTGACGAAGGCCTGGTCCTGCCAACCCTGCAGCAGCAGCGAGCGGTCCACAGCCCGCAGCCACAGCACCGGGTCGGCCGGAGACAGATGCTTCAGGCGGTAACAGCGACAGCACAGGAACTCCCCCAGGCAGCGCAGGAGCTCGCTGGTGGAGGCCTGGACGATGACACGCTTCGGAGACGATGTCACTGTGTTCACCGGGACTTTCTTCACAGAGGACAGCAGCTGGGATTTGCTGTAGGCGTATCCATGCCCCTGACCCATCCCCATCCCGTAGCCAAGCCCCAGGCCCAGTCCCGCTGGGCCCTCGTAGCTGGTCAGGTTGGCGCACGACAACGACTTCTTCACATTTTCGCGGTTGAGGTGCAGCACAGGGTCATTTTGGTAGATGTTGATGTTGTTGTTGTTGTTGAGCGGTTCCCCGAGGGCCGCCGGGCCGCCGGAGCCTTTCTTGGAGTTGCCCTTCTTCTTCGTGGAGGCCACCAGTCGCTTCCACGTGAGCGCCGGGAGGAAGATGGACTGGCCCCTCTTCAGCCCGCGGTCTTTCTGGCTGTTGAGAGAGCGGCTGCTGATACTCGGGTAGTGGCTGAGCGAGCCCGGCCGGTTGTCATAGTAGCCTGACTTGCGAGAGCCGGGTGACAATGATAGTACAGTGCCCATGGTGAGTCAGAACCCCAGAGATCAGCCTGGTGTGGAGAGGGGAGGGAGTTTTCTTCTCTTTTATTTCTTGATTTCCAGAAGACGTGAAGTCTCAGCAGTGGAACAGCGTGAAGAGACGAGTGGTGCAGACATGTCAGGGTGAGAGCAAATGTAGCCTGTGCACTGTTTCAGTCTCTGAGGCAGAGACATTACCTGCAAGATTAAAACACAGAGTGAACACAAAAGTTTAAAAAAAAAAAAAAAAAAAAAAAAAAAGGAGCTCAATCCCATTTCAATGCATTTGATAATCCTCAGTCTGATGAGCTTCTATTCTTAGAGCCTGGATTTTAAACTATATTAAAAACAACCTAATGTCCAAATTCATGAGCCAACATTGTGAATAAGTTGCACAGTGCTCTTAAATATAATCTTTTTATTTTAAACATTCATTTTACTAAAGAAAGATTTTAAGTAACGTGGAATCACACGTTGCATTAATTCTTAATATCTTATTTGCTCACCTGTGAGTAGATTTACACGAGATGTTCGCGTAGGAGCCAACTACTGTTTCCTCCGCAGTCCTCGATGGTGCAAACAATTGCGCAGCTCCTGCTGCCGCAGCGGACAAGATGCGATGTTAGCGCGCAGGGTTGTGATGTGTCCGCAGAGCCGGAGCCAGAGAGTCGCTCCTGCAGAGGCTGTGCACCTCCTCCTCAGAGAAAACAAACCTGGAGCAACGCGTCGGTCCTCGACAGGCGCGGTGCAGGTGTCATCCTCCGCTGCACCTCAGACCCAGGCGGGAGTGATGAAGATGATGAAGAGGGACTTCACGAGTCTTTTCATTTGCGTCTCCATGTCCGAGGGACAACTTCTCACACAGTCTGAGTCCCTTCGACGCACTCCATGTCCTCACGGATCCGTGCGTAAAGTCTCCCCTCTCCGCGCACCAAGAGCTCCGGTCTCCCACTGACCGGGGATCGGTGCAGACAGTCGGACCTCTGAGAGCTCACACACGTTCAGTGCTCAACAGCCAATGAGAGGACAGAGCGCCTACACACACACACACACACAC